TACACTCCATTACACAATAGGTACGGCTAGAAACAAATAGTTGCATATAATATAAATCAAGATAGCCGTTAACACTGTTAAATTACTGTCTCTTATACACATCTAGTTGTGTATAAGAGACAGCTATTCATCTGCTTAACTTGTACCGTTCTTCTCGGCTTGGCTTGCTTGTTTGTTTTGTGCATTGTTTTACTTGTTCTTGCCTAATTTCTGAAGGTTGTTTTTTTTTTTTTTTTTGTTATTTAAGATTAGTTTTGTTATTTAAAGTTAATTTAATATTTAAGATTAGTCCGGGGGTCTAATTACAGGCCTGGGTCTCCTTGGTTCTCGGCACTTTTGTACAGTATTGTTAAGAAACAAGTGAATAAAGTGAATTTATACAATGAACAAAATATCTCACACTTTATTTAACTATATTTAGTAGTCTAAAAGCATTAGGTAAAAAGAAGTAAAATTATGCCTAAAATAAATGTTCATATCAATAATGTTTACTGTAAGTCTTATTATTACCATAGCATATAAAGCCTGGAGATATAGAAAATATAGCAAGCACTCCTGTCCACATTATGTACTGTTATCATTTAAAACATAACTGAAGCATTACAGTGAAAGCAAACAATATTATAAAGTTAGTTATGAAACTGTTAAGCTAGGTAAATATTTAATTGCCTGAGAAATTTCTGTATATTAATGTATACTTTCAAATCGATTTGCTATAATTAGAGGAAGATTTGTTGGCTTTATCATTTTAAAATGGCTGTGCATATTATTACAGGTAGGTCAGCGTAATAAAAACTGATAGGTTTACATCCAACCATTCTGCACTGTAATGTACAAACTCGATCAGCTTTCTTACTTTGTTTTACCATGGAGAAGATATTCTCCATGCTTTTACTATGTATGATCGGTCTTTGCCTGTCTAAAATGGATTATTCCATCCTTCAAAGTGATATATAGTGGGGATATAGTTCTGGGAAGCTATTTATGATTTTGCTGGCATTAAAAAAATCAATTCAAAGATATATTTATAGGTTATATTGAGAGTTTCAATAAGTAATTTAAACTATTGCAAAAACTTTTGTTGAATTTAGATGGAGCTATTGATAATTTGGCTGGCTTTATCATTAATAAAAATCAGTAGGTTTTTATTAAGAGTTTCAGTTTGTAATTTAATAGTAGAGCGGCTAAGAAGAAAAATCGTGTACTTTTGGAAGAAAGCATGAAACTAAGGATCATTAAAAAAAATAGACCCCAAAAAATAGGCCGCTTAGTGGCCGCCATCTTGAAATTCAAAATGGCCGTCAAAATATTGGATTTTTATCAATAATCTTCATATTTACAGCACATAGCACTGTCATTCTAAACCTATGTTTTCAATATCAGGGAGTATTATGCAATCATCAGAAATGATGTCAGATGGCCGACATATTTGCTTTCAAGATGGCTGCCAAAATATTGTTATTTTTGTCATCTTCATATCTACAGTAACGTAACACCTTGAACCATGTTTTTAATATCAAAGAGTATCATGCAATCATCAGGAAATTATGTTACAAGGCCGCCATATTGGATTTCAAGATGGCTACCGATAAAAGTTCCTTTTTCAGTTATATGAAAAAGTTTCTTGAACGTATAATAGCCACTTACTATCTCAGTGTCATATCAGTATTTCAATGAAATGTAAATACAGAAGAAGGGTAAATTTAACTGTTAACGGCTATCTCTATTATTATATATATATATATATATATATATAATATAATATAATATAAATAAAGATAGCCGTTAACACTGTTAAATTATATAATAATCATCAAAGGAAGGTAAATACAGTGTTAGAATAAAGGACATAATAATACATCGTGTAGCATAGCTCTCAACGAATGTAGTCCTGTAAATAAATGAATAATGAAATTGTGTAATAAAATGCCTCTGGCGGGACTCGAACCTGCGACCTCTCGCTGTCAAGACGAGCGTCATAACCATTAGACCACGGAGGCTTCATGGTTGAACAGATTCAAATACCATCAGATACACGCCATTACACAATAATTACGGCTAGAAACAAATAGTTGCATATAATATAAATCAAGATAGCCGTTAACACTGTTAAATTATGTA